ACTTCATAAAAACGAATTTATTTATGTGAAGAAGATTCAAACCCTTTTTCTCTTGGTATAAAACACTCTGGATGTAGCTATGAGTTCACACAAATAACTAGGTCAACTTCTCCTCCCAGAGATGGACATGGAGTCCACACAAAGAACTTCAGGCACAAAAAAAGCCAAATTAGTTCTTCATCCCTGTTAGTTCCTACAGTTTGTTCCTAGTGAGCATGGAAAATTCATCATTGCACATATCAGAGTGCACTAGGGAACTTTCTGGGTTCAGTAGCAGAGTCCACATAGCTAATTAGTGCATAGCTATGCTCTAACCCTAGCTTGATCTAAAACTCCTTTTGGACAAGCTCTTAGGACAGTGTTTCTTAAACTTTTTAAGACTGAGGAACACCAAACAATATTAAAAAAAAAAAAAGGTCTGGGGTAAAAAGGGTCGGGGGGAAAGTTATTGAGGAAAAAAAGGCTGCCTGTCCCTTTAAGGGCAGCCATTTTGAATTCTTTTGTTCTCTGCGGCACACCTCCAACTGCATGCCACGGAACACAGTTTAAGACACACTGCCTCAGGAAATGCATTTCTGTTGGGACAAATACATACAAATCTTGGGATGTCATTGTCCACATCGCAGGAACCTCTACTTGAAGACTGCAGTGCATTGCTGGCCCTATGTGGAGGAAATTACTTAAAACAAAAGTACATAAAATTATTTGGCTGACACCCCTGCAAGAATAGTTATAGGAAAAAAAGATTAAATAGCCCAGAAATTAAGGGTTTGGTGACGAGCTCTGAAAGGGCAACTGGATTTGATTTACATTTTACAAGTAACCTGTGGTCTCAGTATGTCTTTGTTATACTAGCAATGGAACAGCACATTAATTTTAAGGCTCCCTCTCATATAGAGATATCATAATGTTTTCTAATTGGGGCTGATAAAAATGTAGCATTATTTGTAGATTCCTCAGAGAAGCCAGTTGTGAAATTGGGTTTGTAGTAATAATGGAAATTAAGCATAGTACATCTGTCTGAAATAACTTGCCATCAAAATAGTCTCCTCTCCATTATGGGAGGTTAATAGGAAATAGGTGAAGAAAAATACATTGGGAAAACAAATCTAGCTCGGAAAACTAATATGCCTTGAAATTCCCTCTGTTCAGAGTTCTCACATTGTAATTAGTAACAGTACTATAATTATTATTCAAATGTTTAACTGTTATTCTTCCTTAAATTCCACATTTAATGGTAGTTTTCCTTAAGACAAATTTGTACTTTTATGTGTTGCGTGCATTTTGCTGTATTGAAGCCTGGATTTAAAAAAATATCTTAACACCAGTGACCTGGTTTTTGGAGATGTTGGTCACCTGTAACTCCAGTAGATCTCCAAATGAATGGAAGATGGTCAGCATCTTTGATGATCAAACTACTTTTGTCATCAGAGCTTAGCATAGGCCTGTCCTCTTCCTGATAATGTATCCAGTGGTGGTATCTTTTCCCCCCACTCCAATATATTTGTAACTTCAGCCCAAACTATCTCTAATGTCTGTCTTGAAATCTTGCCCCCCCTTCTCTCCTAGATACCACTAAGGCTGCTTAAGAATTGTTTTCCTGTTTGGAAAGGAGTTCTATGTTGTTATCTGCCTTTCCAATGAGAGAAAGAGAATCCTAACTTGCTTATGTTCAAAACTTCCATATAGAGTTTACCCTGTTCTTCTAGCCAATTCAGTTTGGCTGCATCTAGACTGGAAAGACTTGGCTGCATCTAAACTGGCAGTTTGGCTGCATCTAGATTTGCCAGCTGTCTACACTGTCCACTTGAATTTCTGCAAGAACACTGACTATCTCATGTAAGATTGTCAGTGTTCTTACGGAAATACTATGCTGCTCCCTTTTGGGCAAAAGCCCTCTTGCACAAATGCTTTTGCGCAAGAGGGACAGTGTAGACAACGCGGTATTGTTTTGCGCAAAAAAGCCCCGATCACAAAAATGGTGATCGGGGCTTTCTTGCGCTAAACCACATCTAGATTGGCACAGATGCTTTTCCGCAAAAAGTGCTTTTGCGGAAAAGTGTCCATGCCAATCTAGACGCTCTTTTCCGCAAATGCTTTTAACTGAAAAACTTTTCCATTATAAGTATTTGCGGAAAATCATGCCAGTCTAGACGTAGCCTTTGTGTAATTATAGTCACCTCCCTAAAATTGATCTCAAGTTTAGGGTAGATTAGTTTGTTTTCTTTGTCCCATCTAAAAAGCTGCTGTTTTGTTGTTGTGTCTGAAATAGCTTGCCATCAAAATAATCTCTCCATTATGGGAGACTAATAGGAAATAGATGAGGAAAAGATGCATTGGGAAAACAAATCTAACAAGGAGAACAAGGAATAGCTTCTCATTTGTATCCCTTTGCATAGTGAGCAAGTGATCCCTTTATATACAGTCTCCATTCACTGTGGATCATTCTGGAGAGAAAAAGCAATATATTAGTTATGTGAATGTGGTAATAGTGTTAGTAGCAACTAATGCAAATGACTAAGAGCCTTAGAATATCCCTAACAGAGTGCTAAGATAAATCATGATTAAGTCAATGATTAAATTCAGTCATCTCTGTTTGGAAACAAAGAATTACAAGCTAGATGTTGCATATAAGGAAAACTTCTGTGGTTAAATAGAAAAGTCCTGATTGGTGATCATCTGCTGACAGAATTTTCTGTTCTATTGTCTGCTAGGTGAATTGTGAAACACTCTTGGGGTTCTCTGTGAATACATGAAACTACAATTCACTTTGGGTATGTCTATACTTGCCCCCTAGTTCGAACTAGGGAGGCTAATGAGGGCGACCAAAATTAAGCGTGGGATTTAAATATCCCATGCTTCATTAGCATGTTCCTGGGCAGTCGCCATTTTGGAAATTGACTAGCCCAGAAGAACTGCCATGATTCCGACTACACGTGGCAGAGAAGGGCGATTCCGAAATAAACCCCTGACTTCGAATTGCCAGTTAAACCTCATTCCAATAGTTTAAACCATGAGGTTTAACTGGTAATTCGAAGTAAGGGGTTTATTTCGGAATCGCCCTTCGCTGCCACGTGTATACGCGGGCAGTTCTTCCGGGCTAGTCAATTTCCAAAATGGCAACCACCTGGGAACACGCTAATGAAGTGCGGGATATTTAAATCCCGAACTTCATTTGCAATTTCGGTCGCCCTCATTAGCCTTCCTAGTTCGAACTAGGGGGCTAGTGTAGACATACCCTTAGTTTTGGAGCGATTTTCCAAATCAATTTCTTTTGAAGAGATACATTTTTCTGATAAATTTACATTTCTGCCATATAAGTCATCATCATCAACAACAACCGTGGGCTCAATGCCTGTTGGTGTCCAATGCCTCCCTGACTATTTCCTTCCATCTTTCCCTGTCCAGTGCGGAGTGGCTTAGTTTCTGTAGACTAGCTCTGCACCAATGTACTATATCATCTATCCATTCTCTGTGGGGTCTGCCTCTCCTGTTCCATTATGCCAATACCAGGGTCTTACATTTTCACTGCTTGTTCATTCGGCAGACATGCCCGAATAGCTGTAACTTCCTCTGTATAACCTTCTGCAGTAGGTTCTCTTTCAGCTGTATCTTTTCACTCGTTATTCATTCTGCAGATATGCCTGAATAGCTGTAACTTCCGTTGTATAACCTTTCTGCAGTAGGTTCTCTTTCGGCCGTAGCTTCCTATATAATTCCTCCTTGGTGACATTCTGCATCCATCCTATTCTCAGGATCTTTCTGTAACTCCTCTCAGATGTCAATATCCTTCTCTTTGAATCTTTTGTTATCATCCATGTCTCACATCTGTACAAAATGCTGCTAAACACAGACATTTTCAAGATGCTCAGCTTTGTTCCTAAGCTAACCACTTTACCTTTCCAGATCTTATCCATCGCCTTCAAACTCACTCTTAATTTTGCTATTCTAGTCGCTATTTCCTTCTTACAGTCTAGATTATATGACATGTTGCTCTCCAAATACGTGAACTTCTCTACGTTCTCTAATTCAATCCCATCTACAGTGATCTTCCTTCCTATTTCCTTATCTCCAAATACCATTGTCTTCATTTTATCAATCTTCATAATCTATCCATACTGCTTCCCTTCCTCATTTAGCACCTACACTGTTCTCGCTAGCTTCTCTTCATCTTCCTCCCAAACCCGATCACTCGATTGGTATTGTGGACCTGGTTTATCCAGGCGATGTCTGAGCCGTGGTCTTTTATCAGTTAGTCATACTGGCATCAGATTTCATTTGTATTGTTGTTTTGCAATCAGCACATCAACACTCATCTGACTAACCCTCCTCCTTTATCTAGGCTTGGGACTGGCATGAAACCTCTAGAGGCTTCATGGCAGAGTTGCCATATAAGTGCAGGATAGCTATATTTCTGTGCAATGTTGTTGTTTTTCCAGATTACATTATACTTCATACACTGGAATATATGCACATTTTAGGGCTAAGCTTTACTTCATAAGTGACTAACAGTTTTAGGTACCTGAATTTGTGGATGCCCAAGTAAGATGCTGAGCCTCATTCTTTGAAAATCAGATCTTTTTAAGATATCTAAGATTGAGCACTAGGGGACTAGTCACTTTTGAAAACCTTGTTCTTTCTTATGTGACATCCTTTCTGAACAAAAGAGTTGTTATGCAGATTTCATGACAGTAACATGCATTATTTCTTGAGATATGCCATTTACATCTGTCACAGTTGTGCCTGTCTAGCTCTGTTCCTGTCTCTGATTGCCTCACCAACTGATTACTGAGATTTTTGAGTGGGTCCAATCTTTCTGGATGTGGTTTTGGTCTTAGTCTGTGTGTGTGTGTGTGTGAGAGAGAGAGAGAGAGAGAGAGAGAGTTTCACCTTCCTTCTATTCTTTATTTCACCTGCACTAACTTATGTGGGTGAAAACAAACAGCACAGGAATAAGACTGGAAAGTAAAAGCTTGTTTTGCCTCCCTGTCTCTAAACAGAGAGTAGCCATGGGGAGATGACCCAGCCAACATTAACCATCCAGACCCATCCATACCGGAGCTGTGAGCCAGTGGAAATGTCCTATCCCAGGGGACAATTCCAGCCAGCCATCCGAGTGGCCGACTTGCTGCAGCACATCACCCAGATGAAACGAGGACAGGGCTATGGATTTAAAGAAGAGTATGAGGTACGAGGAACATTCATTCATGTAAGTAAATAGAGAAGCTGAAGTAACTTTCAAGACAGAATGGAGGCTTAGGAGTATAGAGAGATCTTTTTAAGAAGCTTTTTCATTAATTGAATTACTGTAATCTTTTCCCCCTTTTTGTGTTTCTATGGCTAGGATTAGAACCATATCCCTTTATCTTCTGTAGTGTCTCCAAGCCCATTTCTCCTATAGTGACAGTGATTACTGGAGGCTGGAGGTTATCTGCTTCCTAGGTCCATGTGACAGGAGTATAGCGTTGTAAGAGGAGATGGAAAACACAAGACCATTGGATCCATCTCTTTGTGAGTGCGGATTAGAATTTAGAGACATGGGCTATCCCTTCTCCAAAAAAACAGGTATAGGAGAGATCATATAATCATAGAACTGAAGAGGTGAAATTCAGTGAAAGAATCAGATCTTCCAATTCTCCCATTATCATTATCATATCAGGTATAAGTGAAGTCATGCAAGCCAAGACTGGATAAGCAAAGCAAGCTTTTTCTTTTTATTTCCCATTTGTTACAGTCCCAATGTTATAGCAATGGTCAAGTTAAAGAACAACTTCACAAGCTGCATCTGGAACTGCAAACTTAAAGCACGAGATATCCATAAACAGTTACTGGGTTTTTTAAACTTCTGGTTTAGAATATATCAGGGCTGATCCACTGTTCCTCTGTATATGAAGAGAGAGATAAGAATCTAGTTATTAAAAAAAAGGACAAAAAAACCAAGGAAGAGATGATTAGGGAGATAACTGCAGATAAAAGGATGGAAGAAAGAAAGGTAACAAGAGACCAAGGAAGAGATGAAAGAGAAATCTGTAGCACCTGTATGGAGAGAAGCTGGAATGAGGAAGAGAAGGAACCAGAATAAGCAGTCAATAAAATTCAGTTCTGGCAAGCTGTGAAATAAGCTTTGTGAAGTTGCCATAAAGTAATATATTACAGCTCTGTTAAAATGATCGGAAAATAACAGCAGTTGTGAGAAATATGTAACTTAATGAAAACAGTTTATTTTTAAATACTGGGGTACGGTTAGACTGTGGGGGCATTTTGGGATACGGTATCCCGAAAAAACTCCACCATGTCCAGGGAATGTGTTTGCTCTTCCACTTTTTTTCACAGAAGAGCAAATGCGCTCTTTCAGAAGCCCTTGTATTCTTCGTTTTATGAGGACGAAGGGGGCTTTTGAAAGAGGGTTTTTTTTCTAACATTTGGCCCAGTCTAGACGTCCATTGGGCATGTATTACTTCTGCTGGCTTATATTGCTATAAAAAAAGTATAGGAGATACCTTTCTGGGCAAGCCAGGTAGCTCTGATTTGATCTGATGATATAAGCTCATAGGGATGAATGTTTCTGGTTACTATAGAATAGCAGAGAACAGATGGGTCCAATAGCTAGCATCTTCACTACCCTGCATGCTAGTTTCACAATCACTTGATAGACTTTTCTTAATATTGCAACAATGGGGTCTATTCTCTTAGAGTATGTCTACACTACAGTTTTATTTCGAAATATCTTATTTCAAAATAGATAATTTGAAATAGCTTATTTTGAAATAACACACAATAATAGCGCTTTACTATTTCGAAGTAGCACGTCCACACTGAGTGGACACTGAATTGCATTGAAGGCCGGCCAGAACCAGGTCCAGCAGGGCATCAGGTCAGGAGTTTATTTGTGTGGCTGCTGCTAGGGCCAGCCTTAAGCTGATTTGGCTGACTCAGACCCCACGCCCAACTTCCGCCCTGCATCCGGAAGTTGGCTCCCTCAGCTTGGCTCCCCCTTACCTGCGCTGTGCACGCTGCCGACTGCTGCTGCCTTGCGCACTGTTGCAGGTGGGCGTGGAGACGCCTGGGCGTGACGTAACGTCACACCTGGGATTTTAAAACTGAAAAGTGCAACGCCGCCGCCACGGCACACGCAGTTCGCAGTCCGGTCCCGCAGAAGTCAGAAAGTAGAAGGTAGGGGAGCAGGAGCAGTGGGAGGGGCAGGGACTTGGACGGGGTGGGAGAGGAAGGGGCTTGTATGGAGGGGAGGAAAGGGGGAGAGAGGAAGAGGCTTGTGGAGAGGGGGAGGGGGAAGAAAGGGGAAGGTACCAAGAGACAGGCTGGAGGAGAGACAAATGCCAGGGGGCCAAGTATAGACAATGAGGAAAAGGGCAGGAGGGGAGGTGTCAGTGGGAGGGGGGACAGGGTGATGCTATTTTTGTAGACCATTCTCATAACTTTGTGTAGGTGTTCCTTATGATTTTTGGGTTGGCAATACTGCTCTTTGATTGGTGAATTTAGAGAGGTCTCGCCCTTTGGTTTCCCTTTCCACCCTCCTTTTTTTTCACAGGTCTTCAGAGAATCATAGAGAGAATGGAGAGTAGGGTGAGTCCATGACTCTGGTTAATGACTGGTCAGGGTGACTAACTGTTATCAGCCAGTGGTCTGAATGAGCTATCTACTGCCATCTGTTAATCAACTGTAGGAAAAGGCTTCATGAGCAGACCTTATTTATATAGACATACCTACTTTGCCACAGAGATCAGTAGACACACTTGCTGTGTCTAGGTGCTCAATTTTGGCTCTTTTGGGTCGAAATTCACTTAAGACTTGGAGCTGGGAGAATGAAATGTTGTAATCCATATCGTATGATTAAAAGGTAAAAGACCTGAACTTAATATGACCTGGCTTAGGGTCTACCATAATTTGAACACTAAGCAGAGGATAGTGAGTCACATCTAACTGAAAGTCACAGAAGTTGGAAACAGGTTTTATTTCTGGTGGTGTAGAGTCTATTTGGGAGTCCTCACTTATATATGACACTTTACATCCAGGCTGTGTCTAGACTGGCAAGTTTTTCTGCAAAACCATTTGTTTTTGTGGAAAAACTTGCCAGCTGCCTATACTGGCCGCCT